CTGGAAAAGGGATGCTAATGAGACCAGTCGGAATTGCAAATGCCGCGGGGGATTTAAATATCCCTCATACACAGCCATAGTCTTTAGGAAAATCAGGCCAACTATAGTCATCAAGCAGTTGTTTTTAAAAGTATAAAATAAAAATAAAAACGTGATCAAAGAGAAATCATATATATGGTACAGGCCAGATCCTTGGCTCCTGTGAACTGAAGCAGTTCCATGAATTTCATTGGAGCTAGGCCAATTTAAACCATCTGAAGTATTCATTCAGTACATCTGTATCTCCTCTCAGACCTCAAATAGCTTTGAGCTGATACAGTCTGGAAGTAGTTTCTACATGTATTCCAATTAGAGACCTCATAGTCTAACAGATAGGGCAATGAACTAGAACTCAGTGGATATAGGTGTTAATCCTGGTTCTGCTACTGACCTACTTTGTAGCCTCAAGCAACTTCATCTCTCTGTACCTGTTTTCCCTTTTCTGTGTTAGACTTTAAGCTCATTGGGACAGGGAATGTATTTCTAATGTTTGTTCAGGGCCTGGCACAATGGGATGCTAATGTTATTGACGTAATTTAAAATACATAATCTGTATAAGCAGAAAGCTTGTTTTCCATACTATTCTATATATATAGTTACGTTTCATTTGTGATGTATTTTATTGTATGTAGATCAGTAAATATACTGAGATATATATTTCTCCATTTAAGATAGTAAATTAAATATTACAATGGGTATGTATGTACAGTAACTAAGTGCACAGAAAGTGAAAAAAGATCACATTATTTTCTTGCATTAAGAGAGAATAGAGGAAAATTCCCCATCTGTTCCACCTGACATCTCTATCAGCTTTCCTGAACTGCCCTTCCAGAGTTCAGGCCTACAGTCCACCAGGCAGAATAGAATGAATACTAAAGAATATGCCAGCTTCAGAGTTAAAGATCAGCTGTTTGGCTGCAAACTCTGAATAACTCTTTTCTGCTTCACTGAAAAGCAATGAGGATGCTTCAGTGAGTATTCTAGATTGTTTAGGTAAATGAATAGCGGGAGTTGTTTTTCTGGCTTGTCTTCTGTATGTCTACACTGAAACACTATTTCAAAATAACTAGTGCTATTCTGAAATAACTTAGTCCACTTCTATACAACAGGCAGTTATTTCAAAATAGTGTCAAAATACTGTCAAGCTGGAGAACTTCTTACTCCAACTCCTGTAACCCTCATTGTATGAGGAATAAGGGAAGACAGAAGAAGAGTGTTCTATTTCAAAATAATTACTGCATAGACGCTCCCTATTTCGAAATAAGATATTTCTAAAAGAGGGTACGTCTACACTACAACGTTAATTCGAACTAACTTAGTTCGAATTAGTTAATTCAAACTAAGCTAATTCAAACTAACGGATCCAGACTAAAAAACTAGTTCGAATTAGCGTTTTGCTAATTCGAACTAGCATGTCCACATTAAGTGGACCCTGAACCGGGGTTAAGGATGGCCGGAAGCAGTGCCGGCAGGGAATCAGATGAGGACTTAGAGCGTGGAGCTGCAGTCTCAGGCTAGCCAAGGGCTGTGCTTAAAGGGACCCGCCTCCCACCCCAGACAGACAGTTCTCAGGGGTACCCCGCTTGCAAAGCAGTCCTGGCTTGGAGTGCCCTGAGTGCCCACATTGGGCACATCACA